GGCATTCAAAGGAAAATCAATGATAGTGGAATATCAAAGCGAAGAGGCTCCAGTCAAGACTTAAATTGCTGTTAGCAGACAATGAGCAGAGAGCTGCACGTAGTCTCCAGTAGCTCATTAATAATACTCAGCCTGGGACCCCATCTCAAGCTAGATAAGAAAGCCAAAATCACCTTTTAAAGACATTTTCACTCCTGATATGGTTTCTCTTCCTCGTGTCAGTGCTGGCAAGCCCATAACTCCATATTCAAGCAAGCCATTTTGGGTAGGATTTGTTTTAACAGGGTTGATATCAGGGAGGTAGTAGGACCACTTCCTTCATCAAAAGCTCAGAACAAGATCGGCTTAAATCAACTGTGAAGCCACATCCTACAGGTGGAATTTCACACTGCAACAGCGTGGATGGAAGGTTTACCTCCTATTGAAAAGGCAATCCCACTTCCCTTTTCTGCTTGTAGGTAATCTTCTACTGCCTCACTTCTGCAAATATTGGTGGTGTCAGTTGGATTCCAGGAATTAAGTGAGCAGAAAGCTAACAGAGCAGAAAAATAAGAGAGTTTTCTTCTGGTTTAACTCCTTCAACTGGCTCACCATACAGCCAGATCTCAGTGAAACTACATCCTAAGCCAAAAGATGAATCAGCTTTAACTCACTGCAGTGATCTGCCAGAGTTTGCAGCTTTTGTAAAGAATCTGAAACAACAGCTCTCAGAGGTGTGAACTGCCAGATTGATCCCATGAGGGTGAGTGGTATTAACATTCATCATCGTCAAGGTATTTCTTCGTTAATTACCAACTGTGTCACTGCATATGTAAGAGTAGAAAGGAATTTCACAATTCCATTCCTTGAAGAGCTGCTCAGCTTACCTCGATGGTTCAGTTCTAGGCAACAGAGTAAGTTGGCCTTACAGTTCATGGCTGCTGAGACATCCTCCATCTCCCAAAACTCTGCTCCTGGCTGTGCGCTCCTGATTAGCCTGTGCTGATTTTGGCACTCGTTGGACTGCTCTGTGAGCCAAATGAACTCAGTAAAACGGTGGACAAACAGGTCCAATGGGTAGCAGTGTCGTTATGAACAAAGGGGACAGGAATGTATAGCCAGGAAGAATAAAGCCTCGTTCTTTCAGCAGCCACAAGACATTAGATTGGTTCAGCTACATGTTAGAACTATAGCTTTAGCTGAACATCCCCAAGGGGCGATGTCTGAGAGAACACTGCTGTTTCTTCCCATCTCT